CCCCCGGAGTTTACATTGATAGGTGCATTATATTTAGAGGGCTGCCTATTAATCTTGCTGTATACTATACCATTCTCAAAATCAAATTCATCTTCAATTTTGTCCTCAACAAGAAGACAGTCAAATCCTCCTTTCATCTTCAAGTAAATACACCCTTGTCCGGCAAGCAACTTGATTTGCTGGTAGTTGTATTCGCCGACAGTAACTGGTTTTGTTATTCTGCCACGATTGGCTCGCACGAACTCGAAGTCTGTATCAGAGTCATCAGACACCATAGGAAATTTTATTCTAATTGCCTCCCCAAGTTTTTCACGAATGTCCTTCTCAGTAGCAGCTTTTGTGACCTCAATGAAACCACGAAGCGCCATCATGTTTTCTTCGTAAACAATTATCTCAGTGTCCTCGCATAATTCTCCTATTTGGAGAAGGACGAACTCGAAAACCTTTGGCTTTTCGTCAGTTACAACACGCGGCTTCTTCGGCTTTGTTTCTGATGCTGGTTTTGTTGCCCTCAGTCGCTCTTTTTTTCCTAATCGCGAGTATAAACCTTTCGAGGAAGATTGCTGAATCATCAATCGCGCCCTGTTAACGGCTGAACTCACAACACTGACATGCTGGCTAGACGAAGATTCGCATGATCGATTTCTTGCAGCCTCGGGGGTCCGTTCATTTTGTATTGCCTGCGATACACGTTCGGAAGAGGTCGACGAGCTACTATTCTGTGGTTGTTGAGTTGGCTGTTGTAATATATCGTTGATTAGGCTACTAGCCTGACTTAAACATGCAGAAAGTTCACGAAGATTGCCCTTCTCATCTCCAGCCATTTTGGGATTTGGGAATGTTGACATGTGTTTTTGTCCAGTAAAACCAGTTTCCGCGGGACAGTGCTTCCAGTTTGAAAACCCCAAATTTCTCAATTTTACATGCGCCAGATTATTAAATCAACATTGAAGACTTCCCGAAGAAATAGCGAGACACTCGCGGTTGTTGTATGTTTTTGAATTCCTGCTTAACTTAATCTTTGTAATTTGTTGCTAGAAACAAAGACAAGCCCCGTTCCGCGGCCCATGCCACCAAACGACGCCCTGCACTTCGCCCTGCTCTTCTCCCGCCCGCACTAAACGCGTGCTACATGGGCTAGCTACCACCCGTTGCAGACGGGCAAATTATGTTACTTTGTTGAATGGTTTTGTTGAACGTTGAATGTTTTTTGTTGAATGTTTTTTTGTTGAACGTTGAATGTTTTTTTGTTGAACGTTGAATGTTTTTTTGTTGAACGTTGAATGTTTTTTTGTTGAATGTTTTTTGTTGAACGTTGAATGTTTTTGTTGAACGTTGAATGTTTTTTTGTTGAACGTTGAATGTTTTTTTGTTGAACGTTGAATGTTTTTTTGTTGAACGTTGAATGTTTTTTTGTTGAATGTTTTTTGTTAAACGTTGAATGTTTTTGTTGAACGTTGAATGTTTTTGTTGAACGTTGAATTTTTTTGTTGAACGTTGAATGTTTTTTTGTTGAACGTTGAATTTTTTTGTTGAACGTTGAATTTTTTTGTTGAACGTTGAATTTTTTTGTTGAACGTTGAATTTTTTTGTTGAATGCGTTGTTGAATGTTGAATTTTATTGATCATTAAAGGTTGAAATTCAATTGGTTGAATATTGCTACAAATGGCTTGCCATAATTAAGCTAGTCTTGCAAAATCGCCTATTAAATGTAAGATCTATTATATTGTGTTCTAATTCTAATTGTGTTCATGAAATCATACAACTACTAAGGCTACATTTTTTTAAATATGACACATCTTTATATTTCTGATTCATGAATAATAAAAATCACTTTCTTAGTTATAGTAAACTATAATATTTTGAAAATTTTAATATTCCATTGAGTATTGTATTTTTTCGACATTTGACCTTGTCTGCTAGCTAATGTAAACAAAGCAAGCGAAGGGGCCTATTGTATTTCATGATTCGCCCGTTTCTAGGCTATGATATGTCTTTACCATACTCTTTATCCTAAAGACCTAACGGATTTGATTTCTAAATCATAAACATCTATTCTTTATAAAGTTATAGTAAATTTTTCATTAAATGTGAAAACATTTTGAAACACTTGTTCTTTGTATTTAATATTCAATTTATTTGAGGTGCCGAACTTGCCAGCTTGCAGAAACATGCAAATAAAACAAGGAATTTTATTATATATATAAATTATAAAATGATATTATATATGGTTATGGGTGTGACATTGATTCATGAGCCATGCATCATTTTGGCAAATTACGACATATCAATGTAAGTATAATCCCTGGAAATTATCTGGATTGACCCATTGGCATTGCCTTCGCCATGCTTTGTTTACATTTGGCAATGAAATGGTTTCATCTGCTATAAAGAACTGAACAAGATTTTCAAAATGACAAGACAAGTTTGTTCTATTTAAGGAAGTGATTTTTACAGTATGATTCAAGAATAAAAATCTAAATTTAAAACAATGTGGCCCAGGACCATAAATACATTTTATTCTTTCTTTGTTTATGCATTTTGCAGGCAAAAGTAGAATCGCCACTTTATTCAAAGATCAATTTTCTCTTGCATACCTATCAGTAACAATAGAACAAGTTCAGTTTGCCTTGGGAGTTTCTCTTTTAGTATTAAATCACATAAAAACCGTATTTAATCACCTTCCGCGCCAATTTTATACGACACATTTTGACGTCGAAATTCAAGCAAACCAACGCCTCTGACTCTATTTATTTATTTATTTATTTATTCATTTTGTCACACACATTAAAGATATACATTTACGTAGAGATAACAATAACAATAACTAGAGAATGCTGCGACAGGAGAAGAAAACAGAAACTAAATTCCAATTGATATTCGACCCCTTAACAATTAATGGATAACGAGACGTACTAGGACAATTATGCACGAACATATCACAGATTACATGGAACTTAACATATAGGATACTGTACAACGAATTTTAGAACAAGATTATAAACTATGGTGGTATGTAGGTAAACAGTTTGGCTTTGTAATAAGATTGTAGATGGTGCTTGAAGATCTGTATGGAATGTGCGGCTTTGATGTATTGATCAGTGGACGAGGCGTTTTGTTCACAATAATTTCCGCCATTCTGGCTGGCATTGACAAAACCGAGGGCAAAGCGAATATATTCCACTGGATCAGGTTTAACAACAGCCTACAGTTCCTTGCCGTTTTGTCTCTATTTCTGTATATATAAAATCAAGAAACCGAGATAGAATATATAGCATCAGCGTATGTGTTTGTTTGACCTGCACACTCAGCCATAAAATTAGTATCTCGCCCAATCTGCCTGTCAGTTGGATAACCGAAGGTTAAGGATATAGTTCCATTTAAATTTAAATCGAAATATCGAAGAAATTTCCAGAAACATCTAATTTATACTCGATTTTGTCAAGAAACTATAGTAAATCTATGTATTTTGTTTTGATGACTTCCCGGTTTGACGTCACACCGGCATTCTCGCCCCAGTACTTTTATGCTGGCGGCCAAACGCTCAAAATAGGCAAAATCGCCAACTTTGAGCCCCCGAAAGTCCATGAAGATCAAATTTTCGAATTATAAAATATATTGCAAAAGTTCTTAAAATCATCTAAACTATCTAAATAGGCTGATTCCCAAACTATGACATAGGCACTTTAAATACTACATATATTGCGGATCATTGCCAGTTTCAAGAGTATTAATTAAGCTGCCGGTTGAGAGTTTAGACTTTAGTTGTGCAAGAAAGAAACAAGTACGTCGATCAAAGGTAAATTTTTTATAGACTTATAGACAAGAATATTTATATCACATCTACCATGCAGTGCTAGTTCTAATATAAATATTGAAAATATGATGCCCGTGGCAGTGTGGCACTGGAGTTCACTGATAGTTTAGACTTGGTAACTAGCGTGTAGCCCTAGACTGTTAAAGTGGCCGCAGAAAATAACATGGTAAATATGCCATCTCATGCATGTAATCTTGTTTCACTTTGGCATTTAGATTGTATATAAATAAGAAAATATAAAATTAGAGGCATGTGATAATCAAGTTAGTTGCAAGGGAATAATGCCACTAGCGTGATATTTAACAGCAGTTTTCGGTTGCTTTCGTAGATATTTACAAGAATGACTTATTTGAGGTGTGCGTTCGCCCTTGTTGTCATGGTAAGTATTTGTATACTGATGATGGTAACTTGTTAGTTACAGAAATTATTAATGTTTGCATTCTTTGAATGTTTGCACCAAATTTTTACGATATGCATTATAGAATATGCTTTACATAATTATATATAATACATCTAAGATTGAAAATTACAGCAGACCGGCGCAAATGGCAAACGTCAGTCTTAAAACTTCAAACCATATTTAAACAGTTGGCTCAACAGTTGGCTGTTTGACTCACCATTAAGTTAGCGTAATTTGTGTGCTACATTTGAAGCATGCCGCCAAGCTACTTAGCTAGAGAGATATTGCATGTAAAACGTATAGGCCTATATACATAGGCGTCGAAAGATCGATAAGTGGGGGGGGGGGGATCGACATCCATATTCATATATTCGTGTTCTGCATTATTAATTTCTTTTGAAATCGATTGTTTTTAAGGTCTGTGAACACGAATACTGATATGAATATGGTCCCCCCCACTTATCGATCTTTCGACGCCTATGCCTATATAATACCATCAAATATGATTTTAAGTTTGTCAGGCGATTGCGGTTAGTGAATGCAGGTAGTGATTTTAAATTATTGAAAAGTTATATAAGACTAAGGATATAGACCTCCCCGTCAATAAAAAGAGACTTTCATTTAAGAATACTATACCGTTTAATAATTTGGGTTGAAGTCAACGGAGAATTTTAGAAAGCTCGAAAAAATCACAATTCGCTGTGGATAGCGCTATTCAGCCTTCGTAGGCCTACAACCGACCAAGTTAAGATCTCTAATAAATCATTAATGAGATTGAACAATGCTTGTCAATGCATGGTCATGCATGACATAACACACCAATATCACATGTATATTGTATGACTAATATATAATTTTCAATAGGGGAACACACTTGTTTCCCCTTGTTTCCAGCCTATAGCCAGTTTTCTTGCTACAAATATCTCCTACCCAGATATGAAATATAATTATTTTGTGTTTTTACATCTTGTGTGTACTATAATCCTTTTTCAATGCAACATTCTTAAATTATCATAAAACTTTGGGCTACAATCATGGAATGCATGGGCGGCGGACTGTCACTTACGTATTATAATTATTACTTGTACGCTCATCAAGCTTTTTCGATTTCCCCTCGAAATATACAGGGTGAGTAAAAAAAACTGACACCTATGCGGCTAATTTGAATATCAACGATATCAGGTTTTTTTTACTCACCCTGTATGTTGAGCGTTTATTGATATCGAATGCTTCTAATCCTTTATTATTACTCTCTCTCAATAATAGGCCCCCTACTCTTAATTTTTAAAACTGTATTTTAATACGCTTAAAAGCGCCCGTCACTGTTAATCCCACCCTCTCTCACGTGAAAGAGATTCTTCTGTACTGGATAATTTTAATTTATTAAAAGAAGCTCACGTTATATAATCCATGCACTGGCCTACGCCATAGAACAAAGATAACTTTATAAGCATTAGAATTATTTGTAAACGTTCTTCACTCAATGTAGATAATTCTAATGGCTATATATAATTACCTTTACCGAGGGTCTTGAAGGGGGAGGGGGTGGGGTCTAGACCCCATTTTCCCAGCCCAAATTTTCTCTAAACTCACATTTCCAAGCTCTTTTTATAAGCGACTCCCAGTTTCCATTTACTCCTTCAGGATCCTCTTTGCGCTGTGCTTGCATGCATAAACTGGGACAATAGTATAACACCGGCGGCATGCAAGTTGTAAAAGGGTGGGTGGGGGGAGAGGGGAGTGAATTCCAAACGTGTTAATATAATTTGTGAATGATCAAAGTCAATCCAGTGGCAATGAGCAAAAAGGACTTTTGTACTAAATTTCTATTATAATTCAACTTTACGTACTGTGCCCAAAATGATCGTCGACGTTGTTTTGTATAGAGTACGATAGATTATGTTTTCATTTCTGTTTGTTAATATTATATATATATCTCAATAATTTTAGGCAATGGTGTCCTTATATCCAACACCTACCAGCGGTGAGTTTAACGAGTCTGTTATCTAATAGAGTTTTTGCATGCATATATATATATATATATATATATATATATATATATATATATATATATATATATATATATATATATATATATATATATATATACTCTAAAAACACTCTGGTTAAATTTGGGTTAATTCAACCAGTACGGGGTTAAAAATCCACCTACACAAGTCTGGTTAAAAAAAATTAACCATTTTCCTGGTTAAAAGTCCAAAAAAGTGTACCAAATTTTTGTTGAATTGATAATTTTTAACCAGGAAATGGGTTAAATTTAACCAGAATGTGTTGGGTGGATTATTAACCCAATTCCTGGTTGAATTTAACCAGAGTGTTTTTAGAGTATATATATATATATATATATATATATATATATATATATATATATATATATATATATATATAGACAAATAATAAAAGGACGTTCATTCTGTAGCCGGGTAAGGGTGTCATGGGACAGAGGGTACCTGTATGTGACGCAATGACATCTCTCTACATTTTGAAGACATGAATAAATTAATACAATAATATATATAAAATCATTAATAATTCATCAGATAATTATCCAGTGCCGTCAAATCCTGTCATACGAAGATTCCTTTATGTGATTATGTCATTTTCAGTAAAATATGCACTCTCGTACCCAGAGCAATGCCTGTGCGCGGGCTAGGAAGGCATTGGCTCTGGGGAAATAGAATTTTTTCTTGTGTTGTGATTGGTTTAACGTTTATCAATAGTGCATGCCGACAAAGAACCGGAACCCCTAAATTTAGGGGTTCCGGTTGTCTATTTCCCCAGAGCCAAATACAATAAGCTCAATCACCGTGACCGTGCACAAATTGAACATTACAGTGCACTACAGACTGTATTTCGAGAACTTATAGGGTTATGGACAGAAATATAGAAAAAAATGGAAACCGCTTTGTCAATATAGATTTATCAAAGAATAGAATAGTTAAAAGTTTAATCCTATACGTATACTGTAACAAAGCAAGTCTACTATTAATTGTTAAACACAAGTTATAATGTTGATGTTTTTGGTCCAAGTTAAATTTGTCGTCAAAAGCTACACCCAGTACTTAGCTTATATCACTTGAGCTGTAAGCGTCACTACCATTGAAACTGACTGACGTACAGACGTCGATGAGAACTATTTCTTTATTGTTGGATTGGATTGAATTGATTAATTAATATAATAATTAAGAAACTTTATGTAATAGTTATTAGATAATGAACAAAAAGTACATGTATACATGTAGCATGTAAATAATTTAAGCAATTAAGGCGCATAAATTCTGACTCGGTATTTCTAGTAATTTATTTCTCTTTATTTAGCAAAAATATGCCCATTTTTCAAGTGTTCGAAGCCTTGTCCTCAGGGATATGTTACTATAAACGGTTGTCAAATTTGTCTGTGCAAAAGTAAGTTGACATTATAAAGTATAAAGTAAGTTTACATCGTAAGCTCTCGGGGCACATTATATTTATTTCAATTAATTTAACAATTATAACATAAGCTGCATGAGCTCCTAGATAAGCTAGCTGACCTATGTGTTTTGTCACTGATTGTAGATGCGCATAATGTAAAAAATGCAAAGTTGGAACAATTGAAGAATTAATTGGTTCTCTCTGATTTATTTTGAATTCTAATAGAAGCCGAACAATTTATTGTTTATCTTAACCAATCAGTTTTTACAGTGTAATCAGGGACGCCGGAACGATGTGAAGGCAAGGGTGGCAGATTTTCGTGAAAGGGCACTTTTGAATTGATATATACTAAGAGATGTTTGCAAAACATCGGGAGTTGAACTTCGCCTAATCATGTTTTCTATTTATTGGATGATAGGGGTGTGAGGGGGTTCTCCGCCAGGTGATTGTGCTATTCTTGAAGCTCGATGACTGCATTTCTTGCGTTTTCTGAAGCAAATTCGTAAAAGAATTGCACTAACATTTCTGACAATTCGCCATTTCGCCAAGGCAATCCTTTAAATTGAAAGGGCACCTTTGCCCCCCTTGCCTCTCCTGGTAAAGGGCAACGGGGGCGGCTGCCCCTCCTGCTCCCCCAGTTCCGGCGTCCCTGAGTGTAATCAATGGTGTAGCTAAATAACAAGGGCGGGGGGCTCTTAAAGGGGAGCGGATGACAAGATGTGAGGGTGACAAGGCGTGGAGGGTGCAACATGATATGGAAAGTAGATATGAAAAGATGATAGATATGGGAAGTTCCAGTATTTATTTTGGTTCTAGTAATTCTTCAATAAAATTAGTGTTTTTTGAAGAAAGGACTTAACTTCAAATAAAAGATTCCTATATACCGAAGCTATCGCCTGTATTTTTAAAAGCTCACTCACACTCAAAGAGTGGAGGTTCAATCTGAGCTTCTCTTGACTGTCAGTGCTGTTTTTGAATAGCTTGGGGGTTAGTGTCGTACCTTAA